ATTGAAAATCATGTTAATCTAAACCCCTCCGAACAGATAATTTGGGCTAACCCAGTATCTTGCGCACTATTATTGGAAGTGTTGGACACATGTAGATCGAGTATATTTTAAAAATGTATTATATCTCTACCTTAAGTGTAGATTATAATACAAATATAAGTAAATGGGTTTTATGTAATAGTGGATTAGAAAGTTGAATTAGGAACAAAACAGAGGTGATTGGATAAGTTTAGGCAAAAGTTACTTATATAAGTCGTTAAAGAGATAATTAATTATCGTGTCCAGAACATAAAACGCTATAATGAGCTTTTAATATTTGTTGGAAGACATTTTCTTACCGCCAAAATATCTTTCAACTGGCAACGTTTTATCTGGGGATATTTCTAAAAGAGATATTAATCGCTCTGTAGTATCTAATACGTGTGTAATATCCACCGAAGAAATGTCAAGGGTTAAAATTAATGGAAATACAAAACTGTATGGTTTAATGTTTCAGTGTTTACGTTTATATCTATGTAGAGCATCTTGTTATTATCTATATACCAGATATAAACTTAATATATCTTATATTAAGAATTCCCTTGATGAATCAAGTGAACACGAGCTCTAAAACATTATAAACTTACTATTTTACTTACTATATGCTCAATAGGATCATATATCTAGAATACATTAGCTTTACGGCATAATTGCCGAATACTATCTAATGTAGAATCACAATGTTATACGATGGCCGAATCATACTTGTCTATGTGGATGGAAATACTTAGGGATATTGATAATCATATCTTATGAAGAACAAAACATAAAAATACGCTTAGAATTTAACGCCCTGGGATAGCCTTGAGATAAAATTTGTGATAGATAATATTGTCAGATTACGACTATCTCATACGGTATTTTAACATTAATAGAATGGTCAATATAATTCTAAATACAAATGCATCGAGTATTTTTGTATAATGGTTTAGAACTCGCTGTAACCCCAAGTTTAGAGCTAATATATCAGATTTTAACTTATTGGTATAGATGAACTTATCTTACCAAAGTGATGAGTTTGATATCCCTTTTAATATTTACAACTGATAAGTCCGTATTTAGACACGCATTTGATGCGTGTTCGGGTCGGATTTTGATGATTTTCCTGGCTTTAAGGCGTTGCAAGTCTCAATTTTGGCTCAAGTTGTGTTTAGCAGGCGTTGGATCAAGTTTCATTGCATTTGAAGTTGATTTGAAGAAGTTAGAGTCTGGCAATCGGCGCTTGAGAGGCATTCGGGAAGGATTTGAAGGCGTTCAAGAAAGATTTGAGAGATTTGGAGGTCACCGGGAGATTCACGATGAAATTCTGATGAAGAAAGAGCATTTGGATCGACCTCGTAGGCATCCGGTAGTGTTTGGAGCAAGAAAACGAAGGAAAAGTGAAGAATAGGGTCAGGCACGGTCGTGCCTAGAGTTAGGCACGCCGTGCCGGAAGAAAAATATTCCTGGGAGCTACTGGAGGCCAGGCACGGTCGTGCCTGGCAGCTAGGCACGCCGTGCCTGGCATTTATCGAGGAACTGAGCTACTGGAGGCCAGGCACGATCATGCCTGGCAGCTAGGCACGCCGTGCCTGGACGCGAAATTCGGCCTTCTTCCGTAGGCACGGTCGCAGGCACGGTCGTGCCTGGCACCGTGCCTGGCCGCGATTTGTCCTAATTCGACCCGAATTCGTTGTTTTGTATAAATAAGGCCTCCATAACCCCGTTTTGGGGGTTACGAACATTACGGAGAGGCCAAGGGACGAATTTAACACCGTTTTTACGCTATTTTCTTCCAAGACCCTGGGATTATTTGTAAGTTCATCTTTTTAATTAATGAGAATTATTTCTATTCATCTCAATTCTGTTGATTCTTCAATTATGAATTGTGAGTAGTTTAATTAGGGATTTGGATTGATGAAGGGGTTAATCATGATGTATGGCTAGATTCTTGTTGGTTTAATTGCATGAATGCCGTTTAATTTGTGTTTGAATAATTTAACTGATATCTTTTGTAACCTGGAACCGCGGCTAGAATTACAATTGCTGGTAGAATAAATTAAGAGAGATCTAGTTTATTCTAGGACACATTCACACACACTTAATCGTTCGCTAAGAGATTAGTAGCGATTAAGGGGTCGTAAGCTCGCTCGTCTTGGCAATAATTTAGGATCTTGTCGCATGAGAGATCAGCATGGTCCCCTAAATTATTGTACTATACGCCGCGAGAGCGGTAAGAACTTAGTAATGATTAGCTAGGCTCAATTAAATTAATTTCATGTAATTAAGCCTGGTCTGCCAGAAATCGGGTTACCCTGGAATCAATCCCTATTCCCTTCGTCATTAATTAGAGAGAAACCAATCTTTTTATTTTATTGCTCATTAGCATTAGTTTAATTTTCCAAACCAACCAATCTCGCACGACACTTTTATTTTATTTTCTTTTTAATCGCTGAATTTAGTTAATCTTTAATTCCCTTTTGTCCGTCCCTGTGGAGACGATACTCGTACTTACACCACCATATTACGATCTATTTTAAGTGCGAGAAAACACTCATCAGTTTTTGGCGCCGTTGCCGGGGACGGTGTCGGATTTAAGGGTTAATTAATTTTAGCGACTTGTTTTTAGTTTTCCGTAGGATTTTTGTCTGCTAACCTTGCAGGTCAGATCTGTTTATGCATATACGCTCTAAGAAGGGAGAATCACTAGTCCCTCTTAATCCTGAGATCGAGAAACTAGCTAAGCAGAACCGCAAGGCTTTACGAGAACAGAAAGCTACCATGGATCAACCATCTGCATCTGGAATAGCTGGGACGTCTGAGGTCCAAACCACTTCTGGTAATCTGGATTTTTATGTTAATACCTCTCCCCAGTCTTCACAAGAAAAATCACCTAGAGCTTATCCGGGGTATCAAAATCTCAGTACCCCATTCTTCCCCCAAAATCAGTCCACTCCACAATTAAATCTTCCACCACTCTATCAGCTCTTCCAAAATACTTATATTGCTCCCGAAACCACTTTTCAAAACCACACCTTTGGGATGCAAGGTCTAGGGCAAAACAATCCAGTCTTTCAGCCCAGACAGAACCAACCGTCAGTCACACAAAATCCACCCCTTTCTCAGCCACAAAATCAATCATTCCAAAACCAATATCAACAATTCCATCAGCCCCAACCACAGCCAAATATCATCCGTCCACAACCCATTAGACCACAACCAGTTCATCAGCCGAGATATCAAGCTCCTCCATATCAGAACTATGTCCCACACGACAATCCGCTCTATCAAGGAGAGACCATTGCAGACTTCCTAGCCCCCGAGATCACAGAGTATGACAGTATCCAAGTACCGGGAATTACTGCACCCCGTTACGAGATCAAGCCAGTGGTGATCAATATGGTCCTAAATAATCAATTCGGAGGGAGCCCTACGGAAGATCCAGTGGCACACATTACCAAATTTCTGAGGATGTGCCAGACTTTCAAGATTCCTGGGCTAGATGATGATCAGGTACGGATGCTACTATTCCCTTTCTCATTGAGGGATGACGCGCAGAGGTGGTTGGATAGCAATCCACATCACCACATTCAGACTTGGGATCAGCTGCACAAGGCCTTCATAAAAGAATACTTCCCAACATCTAAGGCCATAAAGTTGAAGAAGCAGCTACAGGAATTCAAGCAAGGTTCTTTGGAGACATTGGCTGAGGCGTGGAAGAGATTCAAGGTGCTGAGAAGAGCTTGCCCTCAAGGCAAGATGACTGATTGTGAGGTTCTATCTTGCTTCTACAGTGGACTCAACAACGAAGGAAAGATGATGCTTGATGCTTCGGGAGGTGGAGCTTTTCCTTAGTTGCCATCCGAGATTGCGGAAGAATTAGTTGAGAAGATTGTGTCTAATAATGCTTCATGGTATAGCTCTCGGGACACACCTCACCAGAAGGCCCCGGGATTGTACGAGATCAGTGAGAATTCTGCCCTTTCTGCAAGGGTAGATGCTTTGACCAGTATGATTCAGAAACTTGCTACTACTGTGGAAGACAATCAAAAGAAGACGGAACTTGCTCTCTCGGTGCCCAGTGTTAATATGGTAGCCCCCGTTCCTATTAGTCCCTCTTGTACTATGTGTGGGGGACTCCATTCGCCGCATGAATGCACGATGATGGCACACTCGGCAGCCCCTGGAGTAGAGCAAGTGGATGCAATGTATTATCAGCGGCACGGTTATTACAATCAGCCCTACGGACAGCAGCAACAGGGGAATTACGGGCAAGGAAATCAGCAGCAGCAATCTAGGAACTATAATCAGCCCCAAGCACCTCAAGGCCAGCAGCAAGCACCTCAGCCGGGGCAAGAAAATTTTATGAGAGAGACTGACCAAAAGTTTGCTAGCTTGGAGGAAACCCTCAAATGTTTCATACAAGCTTCTGAGGTAAATAATCAACAAGCAAATGCAAGGATGCAAAACATGGAAAATCAAATAGGGCAACTTGCAAAAGCCGTATATGAGAGGCCTCAAGGATCCCTCCCTAGTAATACCGAGCCAAACCCAAGAGAACATGTCCAGGCAATCACCTTGAGGCCGTGTAGTTACTGGATTGATTTTTCCCCTTCCTGAGATATGAGAGCCTTAATTGTTTTTGCCTTTGACATCCTAATTGCTTGCTATTTATTAATCATCACGGTGAGAATTTTCAAAAGTTCTGTATTTACCAATTACTGCCACTTGTTATCATGGAGGCATCCGTATCCATTTTTAAATATAATAGCTAATGCAAAGTTTGAAACTTTGCAAGTGGATTGATAACTCAGTTGCTGATGTGGTACTGAATATAAATCACACATTGTTACATGCTTACAAATTCATTTTGGTGTTAAATAGTCGAAGTTGCAAATTTGTGCTTTTAGTTACTGAACTGGCCTTTTCTGAAGTTTAAAAAATTCATGTGTTTACTTGCTTAAAAAATTTCTGATGCTTAATTTTCATATTTGCTTGATTTAACCAACTTTGAGTTTCCATTTGAATTAAGGAATGGCTCCAGGAATTAAGGAAAAGCTTCAAATGAAAAACAAATTTAGCACATCTCAATCAGATTGTGGACGCCATGCATCGAAGAAAGTTTCACCAAAGTTTGTGACTCTGGGAGGAATTAAAGGAGTTTTAGGAAAAACAAATATGGCATCTGATGGCAAAAGTATTAGTACAAGAAATGAGACCCTTGTACAAAATATTTCATCTAAAAGATGTGCAACAACTACAACACAATTAAGTCCGGAACGAGAGGATACTGGATCAATTCAAAGTCATGAAAGTGCAGCAAATTGCAGTCCTCATATTACATCACCAGAAACCCACGTTGAAGGAGGTACCTATCATGACCGTAGAATGTGAATAATATTGTTAGGCTAACATGACAATCTCTATTTTTTCTGTGCATTGTTATGATCCATATAGCTCCTCGCTCCAAGAAAAGAGGTCGGGGTCAGACAATGGGAAAGGGCATTATGAAGGCGTTTGAGGCATCCAAGACAAAGATGAAGATAACTGTGGATCCATCCGTTGGAAGACCTAAAAATGGTGAGCAGTCAGCAAAACTGTCTAGTCAAATTGGTATTGTGACTCGTGATGTGATTCCAGTTCCTAGAAGGTGGAAAGAAGTAGATGAGGAAAATGGATTGGGACCTAGATTGGATCACTTACAGGTATAGTTACTCATAAAAACAATTTACTTTACTTCAATTCTCTTTCAATCTAAAATATGTACTTGAAACTTGCAGATGCATGTGGATGTCAATGTTGGTGATCCGGGTGTTAAAGAAAGCTTGATTGAAAGGTTGAAAAATAGTTCTCGACAAATGCGTTACAAGCTGCATAAACATTACAAACAGTTTGGAACTATGGAAATGGCTAAAAGCAATAAGCCAGACTTTTGCCTAAACCAAGAGAACTGGGAATCATTGTGTGAACATTTTGCATCACCTAAGTTCAAGGTAAGTCACCTGATCGAAACTTTCAAGGTAGAAAGTAATATTTTTATATTCAACTAAATGATACATCACTTTGATACATTTGACTATAGAAATCAAGCATCACAAACTCGGGAAACAGGAAACTTGTGCGAGCTCCACATATTTGTGGTAGGAAGCCTTTCACTGTCCGAAGACAAGAAATTGTGAGTCAAAATAAAACTTTTATGTTCAAATAAAGCTTTGAATGCTGATTTTACTCTGTAATGAATGCTGATTTTTTTAGCAGTTCACTCGTTGATGTACAGAATAAGTGTTCATGATCATTTGATGATAAGATTGAATTTATGTTGCTTAGATGATTAGGCCCATCATAGTGGCGTTGATTTTTCAAAAGCTGTACTGATCACTTTTTAGCTAGTGGAAACATGTACAGAAAATGTATGACAGGAAAGAACTGAAGTTTAACTATATTAAATGTTTGAGAGAATCAAAATCAGGGAGAGGAATATCGGGGAGAGGAATATCGAGAAGATATAAAGACATTTCCAACAGGATAAGATAAAGTGGGCTGAATATTCCTCTTGTTTTATTTTCATTGAAAATAATGTAAAACTGGCAAATGGTTCATGAAATTTAAATTCGTATTTCCTAACAAATGTATAAAACAGTATGCACTTGTATGATTAATGTTGTCTTAGGGTTATTGTTCATAATTACACTTCTGTTATAGTTATTGTTCTTGAAGGCTAAGGCATTCTTGAGGTTTTAGTTACACTGTCAGATTGTGATACGCCATGTTGTTATAGGTCTATTATCCAATTCCCAGCCAGTATCATAAGTTGTAGTAGGATTTAGAGCAATTGATTTATCAAAACCTCAGACCTCAATGTCATCATAGGAGGAAAGAATTCTATAGTGAAGTCAATGAAATGCATAGTATATTTTGGAAGAGAATGTAGTCTTTATTGTCTGTGTTCTCCCTCAAGATAAGGCTGTTCATGTTGAACTATTGCGATTGGGTGAGCTTCTTCTTACCCTTTGTACAGTAATAAAGTTCATATTAGGTGTGAAAAAAAAGTTACACTATTGTAATGAAGACTGAAATAAGTATACAAGATCATTTGATTTTTCCTGATTTGAAATCCATTTGATGTGAATCAGTACCTTTTTATCCATGTTAATACAAATCTTTTCAGTCTGAACAGGAGCTAAATGGAGATTCTTGTGATAGGATTGAGCTCTATAAACGAACTCATTATTCAGAAAAAAATGGCTGGTCATCTAAAGTGGCAGAAGAGAATTGGGTACTTATATACTAATCTGATCCTTCATAATCAACTCTAACCTGTTTTGTTGGAAATAATTTTAATCTACTTGTTATTGATATGTGCGATTAGGAGTTGATGAAAAAGAAACAAGAACAATATAAAGAAGAAGGATGTGACAAAAGTTCTGATGATATTGTTCTTGAGGTTCTTGGGCATGGCGCTGGCTACATCAAAGGCCTTGGATATGGACCTAAACCGATTAGCAGACGCTATAATGCTAATTCTTATGCCACCCAACAGCTTCAGAAACAACTTCAAGATGCACAACAAAAGTTAGAGATGTCTGAATCTCAAGTTGGCGGGCTTAACACTAAAGTTGAAGATACTGAAAAGGAGGTGTTTGATTTGAGAAATCAATTAGCAGAGCAAGCTTCAAACATGGGGAAAATTATGGCGTTTATGGCTGCTCAAGGAATGACTTTATAAGCAATATGTTAGGCTATTTAGATATTCATTTATTCTTCTCACACTTTGCGTTATATTTACATTCCCTATTTGAATGATTTGGATGTTCATGTTTTACATGCATCTTGAATATTGTGCAGTGTCTCTCATTATTGTAAGACACTGAAGTTTGATGTTATTTTATGCATTTAAGTAACATTTATTAAATATAGAAGGTTTATTCCTGAAAGTATGGATGCCATTTTTTATACGAGTATATGTTAAAAAAGTGACATTAATTCAACGATCATATTGTCGCTGTTTAAATTGGAATAGTGACAATTAAACATTGCATATATAATATTAAATCACAATAGTCATGCGTAGCTATATGTACTCATGTAATGACAAAATCACGTTGTCATTTTAATTAATGTATTTTGACAATATTTATGTCACTAAAAAGTAGCAATTATGACAATTCATTTGTCACAATATTAATCATATAATGACAAAATCACGTTTTGTCATTTTAATTAATAACTAATGTATTTTGACAATATTTATTTGTCACTAAAAAGTAGGAATTATGACATTTCATTTGTCACAATATTAATCTCTAATGATGACGTAAATATATAATTGTCACTTTATATATGCTTAATAATGACGATTAGTTAAATCGTCAAATATAATATTTTATTGACAATTCTACTTTTGTCATTATTTACATTTTAGATTGTCGGCATAAATACTTTATAAGTGACAAAAAAAACTTGTAACTAAAATAGCTATAATTGATGACAATTTTTGTTTTCAATGACGAATTACATGGCTCTACTATGACAATTTTATTGTCACTATAATTAATTTTTTTTAGATCATAACGGTAATTGTCACTATATAGTACATTTTGTTGACAACATCGTATGTCGTCATGTATTGTGTTAAGCAAAGATGACAAAATTGCTACTTTGACGACGAAAATATTGACACTAAAGTGACACATATGTTGTCACTAAAACTGATTAGTAATGATGACAAAGATCTAAATCGTCATTAAATATAGATAAATGGTGACGAATTTAAAAAGTGTCACATAATTCTTTTGCCACGGAGCTACGATGACAAACGTTGTGACAAATAAAAGTCGTCATATATAAGTTTTAGTGACGAAAATTGAAGCTTATGTGACAAATATTGTTGTCACATTTAGTCAAATTTCTTGTAGTGAGGAGTGGAAGAGAGCTAGAACCTGCTGCCACAACAAAGAAGCCCGATGAAGTTGAAGTTGAACCGGCTGCCCGGGAAGAAGAAAAGGAGAAAGAAGAGGGAAGAGAGGTGGCGGCTGCACCAAAACAGCCCGTTCCGGTCAAGAATTACACCCCACCTCTCCCCTATCCGGCACGATTGACAAGGAAGAATGATAGTGACCAGTTTAGTCATTTTTTGAAACTCATGAAACAAATCCAGCTTAACATACCATTCGTGGATGCACTAGCACAAATGCCAAAGTACGCGAAGTTCATGAAGGATCTGCTTACTAACAAGAGGAAGTTGGAAGAAGCATCAACTATGAGGCTTAACGTGGACTGCTCAGCTGTGATTAGGAGGGATCTACCAGAGAAGCTTAAGGATCCAGGTTCTTTTACTATACCCTGCTTAATAGGAGATCTTTCTTTTGATAGGGCCTTGGCTGATTTGGGTGCAAGCATTAATTTGATGCCATTCACTTTGTACGAAAAGCTTGCACTCGGTCCACTTAAACCTACACGTATGTGCATTCAGTTGGCTGATCGGTCAGTCAAATATCCCCAAGGGATTGTAGAAGACGTGTTGGTTAAAGTGGACAAGTTTATTATTCCCGTACACTTCGTTATTTTGGACATGGATCAGGATCGAGAGGTACCATTGATTTTGGGCAGACCATTCTTGGCAACTGCCCGAGCACTTATTGATGTTGGAGACGGTAAGCTTGTCCTCCGCGTTAGAGATGAGACTGCCACCTTTGATATGTCCAAAATAATGAAGAGGCCCTGTCAGGATAGTGGAGAGTGTTTTCATTTGGATGACATAGATTCGATGGTGAAGGATTGCACCCCTAACATGCTTTCTAATGAATCCCTTTCGGACCTTTTGTTTGAGGATAGTGTGTCAGCAGAGGATCTTGAGCCCCTCCCTAGTTTTGATTGTCTTATGATAAGTGGAGAGGAGGACTCAAGTGATGCTAGTTCTGTGCAGGGAACGGAAGATGATTTAGATAAGGTGGAGAAGGAAAATTTTCAGCCCGATTCCTTTTTTGTTAGTCCTTCTCCATTAAATTTAAAGTCTCTTCCCTCCCACCTTGAGTATGCGTTTCTTGTTGATAGTCCTGACCTCCATATTCTTCTTGCATCCGGGCTTGAGTCATCTCAAAAATTCACATGTTTTGATTTACTTAGTGAACAAGGGGAAGTTCTAGCCCGGAAAATTTTTGACAAGGAAGGGAATTGTCCATTGTTTGACCCATTCTTTGCTAAAGGGCCGGATAAAGCCCACGATCCATTCTGTTGCTTTACGGGTAACCCGGAGATGCGTAATTGTTTTCATGAATTTAAGGTCTCACGCCATCTCAGGGCATTTGTTGATAGGAGGTTTGATTTGTGGAAGACTAATTTTCTGAGTGGGAGTGTCTTTGATTGAGTTTTTGATGAGGTGGTTGCGTCGGGCACACGACGTTAAAAATAGCGCTTCTCGGGAGGCAACCCGAGCTTATTTCTACTTTTGCTTTTGCTTTGTTTGTTGTTTGGTTGTTTTGCTTTGTGTTTTTGTTGCAGCTCAGGGTCTTGTGGTATGGATGATGTGCCGAGGATTACATTGACTCAGTTTAGTTTTGCATCGACCAGCGCCATAGGGAAGTTTCTTTGATTCTTTTACTCGCTTGTTGTAATAATGACTTGAGTTAAGTTGAGCACGTGTGACCCTTTCCTCTTTACCCCCTTGTGCATA